GTGCATCTGTGTGAAGAGTTCTTTCTCAAGAAAACAGTAAAAGAATGCTACCATCAATTCCTGACAATCTGAATAAAATACAGTTAGCATTGGAAAATAGTAAATATTTAATCTTTGCAAATTTGCTCCTTAAGTTGATACCATTTAAGCTGCTTAAGTTGATACCATTTAAATCAGGCCTGTTCACGTGTTCTTATTGTTTTGAATTTCAGCTCATCTTCCCTGATAACTAGTGAGGGACAGACATTTCTAAACATACTCTGAGCTGTTTCTGTTGCTAAATGAATCTTTACAGCAACTTGAGAAAAAAAAAACTGGTTCCACAAATGTATACAGAACACTGCAACAATTAACCCAAGACTGATACAGAGAGGTGAAATTACTCCAGCTGACATTTTCCCCTAAAAAACCACATCTCTTTACATCCCCATTTACCCCAGTACATCTCTGAGAGAGAAGACCTGATTTTACCTCTCTAAGTATGTAGCCCAAGCTGTGTAAGTTCTGTGATGTCTGGCTTTTAGGGATATGATGGAACCATTTCCTTCTGAAGTGGAAAGGGACTTATTGCATGTATTTTGTAATTTATTCCTTTTTTTTGTAACCCCCAAGCACAGCCAGGGGTCATCCCCTCCTTGAACCCCACATCCAGGCTCTGCCTTGTTACTCACGCAGATGCTTCCATCACCTTCCTATTGCACACCCACCCTCTCCTACCTCTGCTCCTGCTGTCACTGCTGGCTCTCAAGTGTCTCTAAGGGTGGCTGGGTCAGAAAACAGGCTCAGGTGAAAAGTAAACACCTGAGCCATTGTGTGAAAGGCTGCGAGGGAAGAGTGGCATGAGAGAAAGTTATTTCTTTAGCCCCCTCATATTGAGGCATTTGAAGTCAGCTGCTTTAATGAGTGAGGATGGACAAAGAAGTACTGGAAAGTTTATAAAGACTTAATCATAATTCTCCCCTGTTAAGCTACTGGCTCTTTCTCCATCCAGTTTGTATTTAATTTATTATTAAATTATATATATGTCATCATACAAATGCTAAGGTTATTACACAAATTGTTTATATAATTTAATTTCCTAAGATGAAAATGTGGCTGAGTATTCCTAATTAGAAGCACTGTAATTAGTGATATTGGAAGAAAATGGGTTTTTTTCATTTTTTACTTTGGAATCTAAATTATGTATTAATTTCTCTACTAGTCAACTCGGCTACATATATTTGTATTTCCTCACTAACTGCTATTTTTAATTTTAAAAGAGCTGCATCACTGATGATAAAGCACAAAAAGATCAAGCATGATCACAATCTTGTGTCAAGCTCTCTTCCAGAAGGAAATTTACAAAAAGAATAAACAATGGAAAATCATAAATCTTTAAATACCTGAAAAGCATTTTCTCCTTATCTCCAGTGATGGAGATAATAGTCCAGCTGCATCTTTTGCTCTGTCATAAATATCTGACATTATTTCACCAGGAATTCTAACTTGGAATGGCTCTAAATGAACACCACTTCTTTTGGTGATGGTAGTGCTTTTTGTGTGAAAACAGTACAACAGGCTCCTAGCTCTTGACCAGCTAACACAACAACAAGAAAAAAATCACTGAACAGCTTTTCCCCACTATTTATTAACCTCTCAAATTTTTGTCATCTGTATACAGACAGAAAAAATGCTTCAAAATGATCAGATCAGACACATCGATTACTTCTCACTGACCCAGAACTACAATTGACTTTGTGGGACACCAATTTCCAGCATGCATTGTAGGACAGGAAGACAAAATTGTCTGTGAGAGATTATATGAGTGACTAGAAGAAATCTGATTTTAAGATTCCTGATCCAATTTTTCTGCCAAACTTGAGAAAATAATTACAAGATTCAAAAAAATTCATTTTCCTGCTTCAAATATAAGTGTTACTTGTATATGCTTGACTTGTCTGAAGACATGAACCTTGAAAAGGACTATCTTTTTTTTCTCAGAATAATTACCCACTCTTTCTGCCTTTCAACTGTAAGAGATAAATGGAGCATACATGCATGGTTTTATATGGGTTGGGACAGAATCAGACAGAAGACACAAGTAAGGAGCAAGAGTCAGCAAATGTGACTCCACACTATGTATTATCAGACTGTCCTTGCCAGCACTGTCCATGAAGCAGAGGCCTCCATCCCTCCTTTACACCATGGCATCCAGCACAAAAAAAACCTGCAAGGCTTTAGGATACACATAAATTGCAATAAAGACTGACATAAAAAATTTTATAAGGCAAGAGAAGTGGAAAGCAACAAAATAACAATGATAATTGCTTTAGGGGACTCTCCACTAAAATACTGTGGAGATAATACAAATTAATAATTGGATGCAAAAGTTATGGAGCTAAAAGTTCATATAGTTTAGCTCTAACTTGGACTTGAGTGTACAGATTATGCTGCTGGTAACAGAGGAGGTCTGCCTCTCTCTCTCTCCTGTAACTCTCATTCTTCATCTTTTCACTCCTCCTTCATGATAAAAGTCACACTACCCTGATTTGGATTTTGCAGGTAGTTTCACAATGACGCAGAATCACTGCAGCACTTAACGAATTATATAGACACAGACACTTTTCCAAGCTTGGTTTTCCTCACCTGAGCAAAGGGCAGTGGTTGCTTCTGGAATATTCTGCAGCTGTGACAGAAGGGGAGGCTCTGTCTTCAGGTGCTGACAATTCAACTGCACTGTGCTATTGGACACTATTCACTATTTCCCATTATTAATCTTCTCCCAAAATATGTGGCAATTTGCTTGTATATGAAAACTGAAACATACCAACATATATTTAGTTCTCCCTTGTTACTGCTCTTAGAAAATCAGGGTAAAATTTAAAATAAGAATACTCCTCTAGCATCTTTAGGATGCAAAATTCTGCCATTTTCTGCAAAAAAAATGTAATTCATCTACCAAGAGAAGTCTTGCCTGTATCTCTTCCCGATCTCACTATTCTTGTAGACAGCTATTTATCCTTAGAATTGTCCTTAGAAACACTACAATGAAAAATCCTTGTTGAGGAAAGAAGGGACCATATTTTTTTTATTTCAAATTCACAGAAGGGCTTCAAGAACCAGGAATCCTTGAACTAGATCAAGTACACACTGAAGGGAAATTAAGCTAATTTGACACGTACACTGGTAAATACACAGCAACCTGGTACAAGGATCTGTTCTTTTTCTTCACAGAGCTACTCATTCCTGTATAGTAAATGATCAAATGAGAATCACTATGGCTGGAGCTGGATGTACCAAAACCTTCCCTCACGGTTCTGCAATATTTCACTTATGGAAAGCCCACTTATGTAAGCCAACAGACCTACTAACAATTTTGTTTACATTAAAAAGCTTTGATGACATATAAAGATCTTCACATTTTTCATGATCAAGTTCATTGCTAACATATGAAAAAAATATTTTTCACAGAATGCTACTCATTTCATGCTCCTGTCTCTTTAATCTCTCCTGCCATACGCTGTGAACACGTAACTCACTGCCAGGAACTATATGAACAGCCTCTGCACTAGCCAAATTCATAAAGGCTATGATAATGATTGAACCCTGAGCATTTCCACTTTGAGCAAAATGGAGAACTTGTTCAAGTCTCTAAGCAAATTACTTTCATATATGTGTAACTGGTCCCAGTAATGGTCAGAGAATAGCCTCTAAAAGTATTTGGTACAGTTAGGACTGCATGAAGACATTATTTAGAAATATTTGTACATTGTGCTTTTACGTGACCACTTTAAAAACAGAAAACAAAAGGGATTATTTTTTTTTTAACCCTGTGCTAACATGATGGATGAAAAGGTGCCTTTCAGAGGAGTATTTTGACACATCCTATAGGAGCTTCTCTACACAAAGAGCCTTCACATAAATAACGTCCAGTAAGCTTCCAGTCTAGAGGATTTGGAGTCTTTACAAGGAAAACATAAAGGGGACATTTCAGCCTGTGAGGGTCACAGTCGATCCATGTGTTTTTCGAATATTCGTGCACTAGGGGGAGCTCCTGCAACTCTTTATCACAATAGAAACCTAAGGACAATATAGGGAACGTAAAGGCAACTGCAAGACAGATTTCGGGAAAAAAAAATTATACATACTCTTCACCCAATAGCAAGAAGTACTCTATGAATTTGTACAACTTAACCTTTTTACATCTTGTTTCAGTATGGACTTCTCAGTACACAGGAGATGAAGATGCACTTTCCCCCTTTCAAGATGTACATTTCCAATGAAAACACAAATTGATGTATGTAGCTTGCAAACAGTTGTAGGAATTAAGTTGCACAAAAAGAAAGTTAGCATGGTTTTAGAGGTGAGATGTTGTTTTAATTGAGTGTGTCACAGGAAAAACGTATATGAGCAGGTAATCAAAGTCTGTATCATAATAAACATGAAGAATTGAAGTCAGTACCGTAAAAAACAAAGATAAGAGGACTTAATTAACACTGCTCAGTCAGCCTCCATTCTTGAAATTCTCTCCTTTCAACACTTAATTTTTCAGCCTTCCTGTTGAGCAGAATTTTTTTGTGGGGGTTCTTTTAGCAAACTGAAATACGGAGATTCCACTATGGAAACCAAAATAAAACTTCCCCTTGGATCATCAGCAGAGTTAGGACTTTTTAACTATCAAATAAGTGTTATTAATGACAGATAGGAATGCTTTCTGTGGATCATTCCTGCGCTCTCTTAGGCACAGTACACACAATTTGCAAAGGAGTTTAAAACATCTGCTTATAGCAGAAAAAGCCATTCAGCACTACAGTCCATAGGAGAGTGGAGATTAATGCTCAGTGGGTCTGTCCTCTGTTCATACCCACATTCATCCCTGTATCTCTACAAGTAATTTCTGCAGTGCCCTCTTCTTTAAATATATCACAGAATCATCAAGGTTGGAAAAGACCTTCAAGATCATCAAGTCCAACTGTCCACCCTACATCCCCTAACCACTAAACCATCTCTCAAAACACCACATCTGCCTGTTTTTTGAACACCTCTGGGGATGGTGTCTGTACCACCTCCCTAGACAGCCTGTTCCAATGCCTCACCACTCTTTCAGTGAAGCAATTTTTCCTAATATCCAACCTGAACCTCTCCTGTCGCAACGTGACCCCATTTCCTCTTGTCCTATTGTGAGTCACTAGGGAGGAGAGGCCAACACCCGCCTCACTACAGCACCTTCTCAGGTAGTTGTAGAAACCAATGAAGTCCCCCCTCAGCCTCCTCTTCTAGAGGCTAAACAGTCCCAGCTCCCTCTGCCTCTCCTCATAAAGTCATTTCTCAAGATCCCTGATCAACCTAGTTGCCCTTCTCTGCACCCTCTCCAGCACATCAGTGTCCTTCTTATACTGCAGTGCCCAAAACAGCACACAGGACTCAAAGTGTGGCCTCACCAAGACCAAGTACAGGGGCAGGATCACCTCCTTGGTGACTGTGGGAGTGAGCCAGTTTCAACTGAGGTTTTTCAGGGCTTAACACCAGAGTTTATTTTGCAAAGGGTCACAAATGGCACTCCTTACTGCCAGAACATACCCCAGATGTCACGCTCCTAGTCCAAAGGGCAGGATTGCTTGGGTATCCCTGGGCAAAGCCATTTAACATGGGCTATGTATTTTCCCCCAACCTCAATGTCAGAGAGGTTTGATCCATTTCAATTTAAAACCCAGCCAGCAGCATACTCTCAGCATGGCCAATTCAGCATAAACGGTGAAAAAGTGGTCAAATTGTAAGAACAGGATCCCATAGTGGGAAGCACCATGCAACCCTGCTGCCTGCTCTGCTGGTAATAGATGGAAACAGAAGCACTGCCTATTTTGTCTGCAGGCTGGAACCCGACCTCCCCTGCGTTCTAAGTACCCTTCTGTATCTTTAAAAAAAATGTATTTGAAATTATTATTGATTTTGTCAATTTGACTTTAGGGTTGCATTCATCTCACAGATGCAGCTATATGCAACTCTACCCCACGAGTATTTTCAGTAACTAGAGCTAGAGAGACCAGTGTACAGATATAAGACCGACTAATTAAAAAGACAGAAGCTGTGTTACTTTCCCTTATGTAAGACAGCTTTACATTGACTTTGTTTCCATTCCCCAAAATATAACAGAGGTCAGTAGCATACTCTGGCTCAGAATTTTATGCTTAATTTAACTGCTATATTACATTAAATGGCACGCAATAATGTAACCCTAAATGAAAATTAATTCCTGTTGGGTAAAACAAAATCTCTTTGCTGCCTTCTCTAAATAGAATTTTTTAAATAGATTTTAATGAACTAGGAAAACCAAACAAGCCCATATGGTGAGAAAATACCAAGGCATGTACTAAAAGAAAAACCTTGTATTACTCATCAAAATCTAATAGATGTGCCAGGAGAAAAATATTAAGCTATGAAGATGAAACTCAAATAATTAGCAAATACGGAAAATCATCTGTTACAGTACTTGCAAAAGGCTAAGCACCAGCTAAAAGAGAAGAACATGCATTTCATAATTCAAGAGTGGAATATATTACATTTAATTTGAAGCAAATTATTTATAGTTATAAACTTCCCTGGAAGATTGACACAGGCTCCTCTCCCCTGAAACAAATGCCACATTATGATCAGAACTACTGAAGATGTAATCTCCCTCTGTCTGAGAGTGTAATGTTGTCCTGGTTTGAGCCAGGATGAAGCCAATTTTTCTTTTTACTGATTTTTTTTTCCATCAGTAAGCTTTCTTTTAACTAGCAACAGTGTGTTCTGCTAGGCTGATAAGACAGTGGAATGTTTTTCTAACTACTGAGGCTTCAAGGTTGCACCTGCACTCTGCCGGCTCAGACACTGTGGGGAGATCTGTGACCCCCCCGTAGGAGGCTGAGTTAGACAGACAGCAAAATTGGCCAAAGATATTCCATTTCATATATCTACGTAAGCTCAGAGGAAGGTCAGAGATCACAGAAGACAACTTCCTTCCTTCTTCTTCTCCCCTTCTCTTCCGTCCATGGCTGGTGTCCGGGAAGGACTCTGCTCATCCATCACCGTCGATCCTCAGGCTTGATCTCTCCTGACCCCCATAACTCTCTGCTCTTCTCCAGCAGCAGCTCCGGGATTCCTCGGGACTCTTCCCAGTTCAGGGAAGTGCTGTGGGAGTTGCTGGGGTGGGGGGAGGTGAGAGGCTTTTGCCCATACCTGAGTATATCTGTATATAATTGTATATATTTTCTTGTATCATTCATTAGTGTTTTAATTAAAGCTGTGTAGTTTAGTTTTCAATCCAGCCAAGTCTCTCTCTTTTTCTCTCTCTCCTTCCTTACCTGGGTGGGAGGGGGAGGGGATCGAGAGCGTTGTTGTTGGACCTGAGTCAAACGGTGACAAATGTTTTCTTACCATATGAAAGATTTAGAGGAACCTTCTCTGAATCTCAAAGTTCCTCACTCAGCCTTTTTCTGGACATTACAGAGAAGCCTGCAGGCCTCCCCAAGTTGTATTTGCTGCCAGTCCCACAGGCATCATTCTAGCAAGCTAATGATTTAAAGTCATCAATGATGTCCTGCAAACATTTCCCTTTACCTGGATGAATGTCCTTCCCTGACTTAGTAGCCATTGTGTCAGTTGTTTAGGACCCTAAAATAAGCAATATATATAAAATCTACAAACACAGGGCTCTTTTCTGGTACCCTCTTATTTTGCATTTTGAATAGCTGGCAATAAGTGCAGGAATTTGGCCCTGCGATCCAAGTAGCCCCCTGACAATTCAAAACTGACTGCAGGGAATGAAGACTGACATGCTGCATAAGCACTCTAAGAGCTGCACAGTTCAAAATTGCAGGAATGAAGCTTGCATGCAGTAAACAAAATACTCCAGTATTTATCTCTGCTGCACTTCCCTTTCACTAAAGACAGTTGAAGAGAATTGGAGTCATACAATGAAAACAGAGAACTAGGACCCATGAACCACTTCTATGCTGTGTAGGATTTTCTGCCACATTTGTCATGGGGCTGTCTGAGCTCCTCCATGATGAAACAAGATGACAAGCATTTACTTCCTCAGCATCAAATGTGTACAGTGTGGGAAGGAGAAGGATGGCTGGTTTATTTGTGTTTTGGCAAGGAAGTTTATACACTTTGCAAAGGATCTATTCCTCTAAAACTAACTGAACAGTTTGAGCCTGCACCAGTTGTCTCGAGCCCAGGTGAATATTACTTTGTGCAGGAAGATTGGTGCTGGAAAAGCCCAGCTATTTGCAGCAGTTTTAATCACTAAACATTGCTCAGTTTCTGAAATACTTTGTACCTGAAAATGCATATACCTCCCTTAGCTAAGCATCAGTGTCCCTTACTGGAGGGATACCACCTTCTAGGAAAGATGGATGTTTTCGCCTTGTTAACTCTATCCATCAACTCCAGCTGTTTCAGAAAATACAAAAGCATCTTTTAGTTTGGATTCCAAACCTGGCACCTTCAGTGAGAGGTCAAGGAAGACCCCTGATCTGGCTTTACTCTAAGTGTAGTGTTGAAATGCCAACATATCAGAGAAGCTCTGAGACTTAACTTGTTAACTGTGTAAAATGCCTACAGAATGAAAGGTGCTATCTAAGTATCTAAGAATTATTACTCAGTGCACGGAAATATGTTTATTTTTGTACAGGATAAGACTCTGTCAGGAAGAAGTATAACATTAGTGAGTAAGATTCTAGAAAAAGGAACTGCATGCTGTTACATTTATACACTGAGTAAAGCTGAATGTGACAATTAAGAAAGGTCAGTACCCCTGAGGAAGTAGGGCAGACAGACAGGGAGAGGCAGAAGTAGTTTTCACATTAAGAAAACACACTAAAATATTCATTGTCTTTACCTGCTGTCAAGATGTGTTTTGTGTTACAAAAATACCTTTAACCTTTTAAAGACACCACACAAATGCATCCAGTTAAGCTCCTATGTCCCAAAAGAAGGCATCCATGCATGTTTATTACTGTAACTTTTCTATTCCTACCATAAAAAAAAAATCTTAATCTTTACAGCAATGCCTGATATTATTTCTTCCCACTATCACAACTACTTTAAACCATCATAGAACTATTCATGAGTTCTTTCATGTGGGTCTGATCTGATGAGACTGAAGGCACAGAACTATTTTACAAAGGGGAACTGGAATGTAAAGCTGTGCTCTGAACCAGGAGAAAATGCATGCTGAGCAAAGGGCCAGAACAATGCCAATGCATCAATTAAGACTCACTTAAGTCTTAAAATAGTATTTAATTATTAATTTTATGATCCAATGGCTATGCAGTGGTCTTGTCACAGTGCTGCTTTTCTTCCTTACCCTCAGCACCTCTCTGACAAAGACAGGACAACCAGATGGTAACACAAAATCTGGCAGCAGTACACTTTCTAATAATACTGATCCTAAACCAGTTCCTTTCTCCAGTTCTATGATACAATGTCTAAAGCATCCTTATAAAGTGTATACTCACACACATCAACTACATGCTTTGCATTTGTACCTGATTCTTTCCAATGTAACGCTATGCTTTTGCATTTTTCATTACCATATCCTCGACCCCCATCTAATAACAAAGGCTAAACTAAGTGTGATTTACCTTATTACAATTTTTAGAAACTTGGCAAAGAGCACTGCTTGACATACTGTCCTTATCTGGCATTCCTAAAAAAAGAATACAGAAAATTAATGTATACTGTAAAATCATTAGCAGTGGAGATATTTTTCAATAAAATAAGGAATTGGAGTGTCCAATAGTTTGGTAACATTCACATTAATCTATGATTTTTTAAAGAGCAAAACAGATTTATTGAGACAACACTCCTCTCTTGTTAACACAAAAAAGACAAAAAGCTAATTTGTGTAAAACCCAAAAACAGTTCGCCAAACATAGTACTTTCTCACAGTTTACTATCTGAAATATATATATATCCAGGAATTATTTACATTTTTTTATTTAACACTCACAGTCTGATGGGTTCTTATGTGTCAGAGAAAGACTCAAAGTTATTTAGCCATATAACTACGGTCAGACAGCAGCGTGTTTACTGAAGACTCTCTGCCCAAGCACTAACTTAGGTTCCCAAGCATGCTGTGTAGCCCATTCCAGTTAAAAATATGTCAGGTTGTTATATCTATTTTTTTTTACTAGCAGTACTCCTGGTCATTTCCATGGAATACATGTAACACCTATAACCAGCTACACAGCATCATACAGAATATGTTAGTCAACAGGCCTGGTTCACAGTGCAGATCTGTGTGCAGCTCACTGTACACTTGTATACAGCTGGGAATGCAGTGAGGCAAGTTCTAAAGTCTTTCCTACTACATGCAGTATTAATAGAGCTGTAATAGTGACTTGAACCTAACATTTAAATTCCAACACCCAAAACCAGAGGACGTTCATCTTTCCCATTCCTCTCTATTCCCTTTTTTTTTTTAACATCTGATGTCTGTATTCTCATACTTACTGTCATTGTTGGAGCCAGTTTCCATAACACCATAAGGAGGAGTGAGAAGTCCAGACATATACTGTCGATATTTCTGAAAGACAGCAATGGCACATGCAGTCAGGTACAGATGTATAAAGTCATTCAGTGGATAATGTGGCATTTACATTTGTGTGTCTTCTGCCTTGTGTTTCACATGCACCCAAGCAATTGGGGGTATTCAGACATCTCTTTACTCATAACACTACAGGGCCTGCTTTCTTGACTGCACAAGCTGCCTTTCTTTTATCAAAAAATTGTGCAAAAACATCCTTCATCTTCCCCAAAGCATGACTTTCAGGGTTCTAATAAATAAATATTGCGTTTAGTTGTGTGATTTCCCATAAAGGCTGTTTTAAAGCTCCTTTGAAATTGCATTACTCAGCTAATCTCAAGCTAAAAAACTACTTTATTGTAGGGATGGAGACAAGACTGGTAGCTGAAGGTTCGTGAGAACCGTGTACCACTACAGCTCTCGTGTCAGATTTGAAATCTGCAAAATTTAGTGTGAAAACTCTGAGCATTTCATTCCAAAACACTGTTCGGTTTTCAGAAGCTACAAGGTTATTAAACACACAAACCCAGCACCTCATGTTACCTACACACACAATTAAAAAATTGTCTTATCAGATAAAACTTTGTAACTGTAAAAGGCTCTTGCTTTTGATGATAACTTCCTCATGCAGGTAGTTTAAGAGCCAAGGAGAGGTGCACTCAGCTGGACCTTGTATTAAGAAATAAGGTCTGGTTGAGGACATTAAGATTGGGGACAGCCTTGGCGACAGTGATCATGACATAGTTGGGTTTACTATTTTACAAGGAAGAAGCAGGGCAGTAAGTAGGATTACAACCCTGGGCTTCTGGACGCCTAACTTTGTACTCTTCAATGATCTACTTGCAGGAATCCCATGGGCTAAGACTCTAGAAGTCAGGGGGGGCCAAGAGAGCTGGTTAATATTCAAATGTCACTTCCTCCAAGCTCAAGATCAGTGCATTAACTTGAGTAAAAAATTGGATTTTTGTTTTCAATCATACTGTATTACTGTCATGCTTAAGGGTAAACAATTATAATACCCTTTTGGAAGTGTCAGAAAATAAGCTTGTGCAACTGGGATGCTGATGCTCAGGGTAAATGAAATGTGTCATGCAGTCCTGAGGGTGTGCAGTGAGCTTAACGTGAACAACCAACCAGCTGAAATCCATGTAGGTTTCAACTAAGCACATGTACTAATTGAGATGGAACATTTTCCCTTTAGTACAATTTTAAATTAAAAGTTGTATCCTTTGCTCTATGAAGCTGTTTGTATATATTCATTTTTAAAATGTTGTCTGCTGGATTTTAAAAAATGCTTGAATTATCTCTTTAGCACTTCCTTTTCTAGGAAATATTTAAAAATTTTAGCACTAAAGACTGAGTGTCTTGCATTCTAACTAACAACAAAATCTACAAAGATTACATTAATCTTAATAATCCAATCCTATTTTTAGACAAGCTATTACATTCTAAAGCTTAGTAACATATTATTTAAATCTCACCCATAATCCATCTGAAAACTCACAGGAGTAAAATATATATCCCTGATCAGTCACACAAAACAAATGCTACTTCATTTGAGGATAAAACTCTCCCGTTTTCTTTCCCAAATCATTCACTTTCCCATACTCTGCATCCAGTCCTATGCCAGGAAATCAGTGAGCGGAAGAATGTAAGAAACAATTACTTTCACAGTTCAACTAGTAAATCACACACATAAAACGAGAAAAACTCATTTTGGTTGGCCAAATTAAAAAAGGGAAAACATGTCACAAGAGGCTGAAATAACATTTTATTCAAAGAGTAGATAGAAGGTTTGTTCTAATTTCCACTGAATTTGGCCTTGAAATCTGATTAAGAAATGGAAAATTTAAATACTTCATTTGGGATAGGATAAAACCAAACTTTAGAAGTATTTTTCTGCTGTTGTTCTTCCGTCATTCACATGATATTTGTTTCTTTGTTCTGTTTTTCCAAAAATAGCATTTTTCCAGAAATACATTATTATTCCACATTTAACCCACTTTGATTTTGAATTTGAAATGCAGGAAGACAGTACTTTTTTATTGCCTATATCACATCCACAGTCATCAGTTGCCCTTTTGAATAATTCTCTAATATTTTTCCTGATTATTCTTCTAATGATACAAAACATAGAACCCACCACACAATTTCCAAAAGATCTGAGGGCCTAGCTTCACAAAAATGCCTACAGGCAGAATAAGCCAGAATTGCATACAATATTTTAAAGGAAGCACCTAACTCCATGTAGCCCCACCTCATGCTCAGGATGGTGGCCAAAGCCCACCAGGAACAAAAGCACAGGCTGCCAAGGACTCTATGTTATCTTCCACATGAAAGTCCCACTCTGCCATGGGATGCATCTACTTAGTCTGATACAGCAAGATCAGTAAGCAGTGTTGCCTGTGAAGAAGTTCAGGCAGCATTACCAGAAGAGGCACTAATTGAAGACATACCCACAGAAAGCTCAGTTTTTCAGACTCCTCCAGGGGACCTTTGCATAAATGAAACCACCTTCTGTCTCTGGAGGGAAGGCTGATACGTTTGTATACACATGGTCTCCCATGAAGATACCTTGGTGGGCTGCAGGCTGACCTAGGAGGCATAATTTGCACCTAAAATTGTGTGCAAAGACACAAGTAACTGTATAAAGGTGTATCTATTGGAGCAATGAAGTTCCAGGCACAAGATCTCTCAAACATGAGATAATGAGGAAAACACAACCCTGACTGAGATCTATCTTGATACCATAATGTCTGGAAATGAAAAGAAAATACAGCAAGTTGAATTGTAGTGGCAGGTGGCATTTAAAATCATCCCAAAGATTAACAGACTAAGTATTTACAAAAGGCTTTTGAAATTGTATTCCACTGGTGGTATGAACTCTGGAAAAGCTCTCCATATGAAAGACAACAACAGCTATCAAATTATCATAAGCTTGTTTACTACCACAAGTCTTCCAGTTCTGTAAATCCAACATGACAGCAGGTTTTAAAACTACACTCAGTGACCTATTCTTTGTCTTCAGATTTATAACAGTTTACAAACACTAGTATGCAACAGCTTAAAGATCAGACACTTACTGCATCTAATCTGACAGCATAAGTAATATTCCAGTTACTGACCACCTCATGTCCATGCAGTGATGAAAATTAACACGACCTTTTCATCCACTGCTACAGCCTACAGCACAGAAGACTGCTGACAAAGAACAGTTGGGGGTGGGCAAAAAGGAGGAAAAAGAATCCCATGCCTTACTGGGGAGGAGCTGTGGGTGAATTTTCGTACCATCAGTTTTTAAGGCCACTCATTATCAGGCTTTTCAGTGTGTTCCTTCACATGGTCTTGTTTAGACTTTATTTGCAGTTAGCTGCAGTTGGTCTCAGAGGTTTTCATTATTTTCTTCGAGTCTGTGACCATAATTTGTTATATTTTTATATGCTAATGTTTAGAAAGGCAATCAGAATTACAACTCTGATGCAAGCTATCTCTAAATTCCTTGTAGTTTTTTCTAGCATACATAAGGTATATAAAATATGTCTTTGTAGTTAGTCCCTTCTCCTTTGCTGCAGGTATTGAAGAGCTAAGAAAGGGAAAGAAGGAGCAAAAAATATATCTATACAATACAAACACTCCAAACAAGGCAGATGTAAAGAAAGAAAGAAAGATGTGAAGAAAGAAGCCTTTGTTGTCTTCCATATGCAATGCATAGTAAAACCACTGCATTCTGATGGGACTCAGGACTGATGAAGGGAAGACCTCCTGGGTATAAAGCTTTGAAAACAGGTCCCGCACCAGATACTCCCCCAAATGCCACAGTTCTCCAGTCAGCAAAGAGCAACTGGTGGGCTGTGTAATAGGGACCCAGGTAGTGATGGTTTGTAGCACCAGAGGAGTGAAGTTAGGCTTCTGATGCTTTCCCATTCCAAGATAAATCTATACCTGGCCAAATACTAGGAAGTGAATTTCTTGTAACATTGTAGAAGGTTTTGCAGACCAGAACAGGTGCTTGGTGGAATACATGATCTTTCCCTTTCTCCTTCTCCCTGACTCAGTCTCCACTTTCACAGTCACTTTTGACCAGAAGTATTTCTGCCTCGTGGTCTGCCTACCACTTGCAGCAGAGAAAGTGACAAGGCAGGGCCTGCATTACTTGTAAACTTGGGAGTAACACAAAATAATTTATCTTAGTTGTAGAAATCCTAGGCTAAACATCAGGGTGCCCTTTACAAACTCATTTTTCAAAACTTGGTCTGTTTTATTAGATGCTCTTATTTTGACTGTAGCCTGATTTCTGCAATGCTCCTGCACTCTCTGTCCATGCTCCTGTAATGGTTTCTCTTAGGGAATATATGCTGTAGCTTGACAACATGGGCCAGCTTCACTATTTTCTTTAGACAATAGGTAATTGATCACTGATGTTGTCAGTACAACTCTGTTCTTCCTCTAAGGTCTCTGCACCAGTCATACCATTTTGGCAACCTCCCTTGTGTGCATTACTCACAAGGGTCTAACAATTTCATGATGCATTGTTTCTTGTGCTCTTTTCTCCAGAACAGTAAGGAGGGAGGTGAAAGAGCCCCTGAAGATCTCCAGACCCTCTTTTCATGCAACAAATCAAGCAGAGATTGCTGCTTCTAGACTTGGGAGACTTTTCTCAAACTCTTTGCCTTTAGATCTCCAAATACCACTCCACACTGAACCAACTGAAAGTAAAATTTCAGGTTATCTGCCTGCTATCTGTTAGTGTTTTCCAGTAAAAACTCCCTAATGCTCTTAGAGAATTTCACAAGAAAACCCTGACCCTTATAATCATATCTATAGGGATTTTTTACCCAAATCCTGTTACAAACAAAACACTTCCTATTTAGTATAGTATGTGCTGAGACAGATTCAGACACTGCCTTTTTTGTATGTTTAGAAATTAATAACTGTATTTCTTCTAAGCAAGCTCAATCAGAGAAATTCCATGCATTTGGAGACCCATAACTGGATATCAC